TCCCGTTGCGGAGCACAGGCTCCGGATGCGCAGGCTCAGCGGCCATGGCTCGTGGGCCTAGCCGCTCCGCGGCATGTGGGATCTTCCCAGACCGGGGCACGAACCCGTGTCCCCTGCATCGGCAGGCGGACTCTCAACCACTGCGCCACCAGGGAAGCCCTTGTGTTTGTTTTTGTAGGTCTTTTCCTCCTCTTATGATTCCTGCCTAGAGAAGTTCCTTTGGCCTTTGTTGTAAAGCTTGTTTGGCGATGCTGAATTCTCTTAGCTTTTGCTTGTCTGTAAAGGTTTTAATTTGTGGCCTCTCCCGTTGCGGAGCACAGGCTCCGGATGCGCAGGCTCAGCGGCCATGGCTCACGGGCCCAGCCGCTCCGCGGTGTGTGGGATCTTCCCGGACCGGGGCACGAACCCGCGTCCCCTGCATCGGCAGGCGGACCCTCAACCACTGCGCCACCAGTGAAGCCCTGGTTTTCTTTTTAAATAAGTGTGCCTGTCCTGCCCCTCCCCCAGAGATTCTGAACCAGCACGTCCTCTTCCTCACCACGCTATTCTTATTCTCCCCTGGTCTCCCATCCATCCTCCACACCGCTGACAGATGATCTCTCCAAAAGGCAACCGTCAAAGTGCAACCTATCTGTCTTTTCAGAGGTTCCACAGCACCTTCAGGATAAAGTCCAAACTCCTCGGAAAACCCTTGACACTTTGGTTCTTGCCCACAGCTTCCACCTCATCTCCTGCCACTCCCTTACAGGCACCCTGCACTCAAGCCTTATCGAAGTGTGCTACTTGCCGTTCCTGGAACATTCCTCCTTTCCTTCCCTTGCTGTCCTCAGTGGATCTCCTCCGTCAGCCCTTTCCACCTGGAAGTCATCTTGTTCAAAAACAAGACCTCTCCTGACTTCTCCAGGCAGTTAGATACTTCCTCTTCCGTGTTTCCACAGGACCTTGTTCATATAATGATTCTATATTTATTATTGGATGATTGTATTTGTGTTTATACAATGTCTCACCCACTAAACTATGGGCACACTTTGTTCACCTCATTATCGTATGCCCTAATGTAGAGACCCACACATAATGTGTACTCAACAGATGCTTACTGAATGAACTTTTGAAGTGAATAAAGTTTTAATTTACACTTTTCTGATTGATTAAGGTATACAGTATTTTTTTTTTCTTTTTCTTCTTTTTCTTTTTTTTTTTGGCCTCGCCAAGCGGCATGCTGGATCTTAGTTCCCTGACCAGGGATTGAACCCATGCCCCCTGCAATGGAAGCACGCTGGATCTTAGTTCCCTGACCAGGGATTGAACCCATGCCCCCTGCAATGGAAGCATGGAGTCTTAACCACTGGACTGCCAGGGAATTCCCATACAGTATTTAACATATAACAAAAATGATACTACTGACCCACTTTCAGGACAGCATGCTCTTTGAATCCCTTTAATGTTTATTTATTTGCTGCACCGTACTGTATGTGGGATCTTAGTCCCCCCACCAGGGGTCGAACCTGTGCCCCCTGCACTGGAGGCACAGAGTCTTAACCACTGGACTGCCAGGGAAGTCCCTGAGTCCCTTTTAATAATGACAGTTTATATTTGAAAGTACTTTTGATTTTTCAAAGCACTTTTTTTTTAAATAATCTCACCACATTTTTTTTTTTTTGGCTGCCTTGGGTCTTTGTTCTGGTGTGCAGGCTTCTCATTGCGGTGGCTTCTCTCGTTGTGGAGCACAGGCTCTAGGCGCGCGGGCTTCATTAGTTGTGGCACATGGGCTCAGTAGTTGCGGCGCGCAGGCTCTAGGGCACAGGCTCACTAGTTGTGGCACACGGGCTTAGTTGCTCAGTGGCATGTGGGATCTTCCCCAACCAGGGATCGAACCTGTGTCCCCTACATTGTCAGGCCGATTCTTAACCACTGTGCCACCAGGCAAGTCCCTCAAAGCACTTTTCTTCCAACCCTTTATTATGAATATTTCCAAACACATGGGAAAGAAAAAGAATTGTAAGTGAACTCCCATAGACCCTAGACTCTAATTCAACATTTTGCTATATCTGCAAAACGCTTTTTTTATTTTTTTATTTTTTTGCGGTACGCGGGCCTCTCCCTGTTGTGGCCTCTCCCGTTGCGGAGCACAGGCTCCGGACGCGCAGGCTCAGCGGCCGTGGCTCACGGGCCCAGCCGCTCCGTGGCATGTGGGATCTTCCCGGACCGGGGCACGAACCCGTGTCCCCTGCATCGGCAGGCGGACTCTCAACCACTCCGCCACCAGGGAAGCCCCTGCAAAACGCTTTTTATAGGCTAGTTTTATCAGCACTTTTTATTTCACCTAGTGACTAAGGTATGATTCTGTCTGTCTTTATAGACAAGGAAAGTGAGACTAAGAGATTTAATGATTTGCCACGAAGCATATCTCCCAGGAGTTATGATCAACCTGTACCAGCTGATGGCAACCACACCTTCCGGGTGTCAGATATATAGCCCAGGCCTGAACATACATTGAATATCCTCGGTAATGAAAAGCTTCCAATTCCTCAAGACAGGAGAATCACCAGCACCATGGGAAATCCGGCAAGAAAACATTTCTAGGTCATAAATCATTCAGAGAGGAATCCAGTCTTGGGCCTCCCTCCCCCTCACTCCACTTCCCTTCCTGGTTAGTCATCATTTCCTGCCCAAATCTAGCTGAGATATTTCTTCCATTCATTCTTTTCCAGTACTAGATGCAAGTCTAGAATAACTTTTTTATCAGCTGGCCTACTTCTCTCTCTTGCCTTTTCACATGCCCGAGATACATGACCTCAAGGAAACCACAGCCCTAAATCATATCCTTGCGTAGCTCACAAAACAGCTCACCGTTTCCTACCAAATTACGTCTAATATAACGTCTGCCTCCCGCAGTATAACCTATCCAAGCATCTGTCTTCTTACTCCTTAGCTTCCATCCTACATAACTAAGAGTTGTTCTTGTAAATACACCCAGGGCTTTCTTTATTCCCCTTTTTCATGTGTAAATCACCATCACTCTCCCCCTGCTCCAAATTCTACAAGTGTAAAACCGAGACCTCCAAGTCTTTGCCCAACACAAATGCCAAGTCTTCTAATAAACCTTCTAGAAACCGCAGGCCTGTTATGACCTCTATCGCCAAACTTGCGAAAACTTGTGGCCCTGGTCTTAATCTACCTTGTAAAGCTTTAGGTCTGATTTCTGTTGCCACCTTCGGCCCCCTTTGCCTGAGGATAACATTCTTGAGGAAAGGGACGTTGTCTTCCTCAGCATCGCCATCGCACACAGTGGGGGCTTTATCGCGCTTAATTTCTTTTAACGCAACATGTCCCGCCGACGGCGTCGGGGGGCGGACACCCTTTGCCGGATTCACACGTCCACTCACACGCACACACGGATGCTGTCTTCCACTCGGACACCCACGTGTCTCCAGGGCCACAGCCCTGGAGCAGTCTTGGGTCTCCCAGCCTGTGGGCGTTTCCACTGCAGCCAGCGGAAGGGGAGGCTCATTCCTTTAAAACCGCCTCAAGGGATCCTTGTTACTTTGGACCGCCCATAGCCCCCACCCTATAAATAGCTTAAGATCCGCTTCCTCCCAAAATCAGTATCACTCCGGTTCGAGGAGTCTGTAACTGGTCGCGCCGGGCTCCGGTCCTATGGATCCCCCCTCCCTGTCGCGCTTGGTAGCGCCCGCTTTGTCAGCGCTCTGCGCTCGCCGGTTACCCCCCAGCTCTCGCCGGCTGGCTGCAGCCAGCGCCTTCGCGTCGCAGCAGCCGCAGCACCAGCCACTCGGTCTCGGGCTCGCCTGCCCAGCACCTTCCCCCGGGCCGCGGCGGGAAGAGAAGGAGCCCGGGAGCCTCCCCTCGGACGCCCCCGAGATTCTGCTCGGCTCGCCCGCGTCGGCGAGGCCCGCGGGTGGGTCGGGCGCGCGAGGGGCCGCGGCGGCGGCGGCGGCGGCGGCGGCGGCGGCGGCGTCGGCGCCCGGCATGTACCAGAGCCCGCGGCGGCTCTGCTCCGCCCTGCTGCAGAGGGACGCGCCCGGCCTGCGCCGCCCGCCCGGCCCGCCGCCGCGCCGACGCTCGCCGGCGCCCGCCGCCGCCCCCCGCCTCGCTTCACCCCGGCTCCTGGCGGTGGCCTCGGCGGCCCGCGGCGTCGCGAGGTCTTGCTCCCGAACAGGTGAGTGCGCGGCGGTTCCGGGCGGAGAACGCGGCGGCGGCCAACGCGCGGCCGCCACCTGGAGACGGCGCGGAATGAATGGGAAGCCGGGGGCCGCCGGGCGGTGGGGTCGGACCGGGAAGCGGGTTCCCCTCTCCCTGAGCCGCTGTCTCCGCTCCCCTTTGCGGCTCTGCCCTCGCCTTCCCTTGCCTGGGGCTTGCACCGCGTCCGGTAAGAACCGGAACCCCGCGGGAGCTTCTAGTTTGATCCTTACCGTTCGATGCCGTGGCTTTTGTATTTCTCGCTCTTGACCTGTAAGTTTTCCCCTTCCGAGGCCGCAGATTATTTGTGTTTTGTTTCTAATCGCACTAATGATGGAACATTTTATGCAAACAAACAAACAAAAAATCTAAAGTTACACTTATCTGATCACGTGACCTGCGTGTCTTTTAGGTTTCTGAATTTTGAAAAATGTCATGTGAACAGTGTGTTATAACACGCACTGACTCTTTGGACATACATTTGAAATCTTTCGGGAGCCTTCCCGTCTTAATATTTGCGTCATTCTGCGTCCTGTATACCTGGCTTAAGATCTTGCAAAGGTGATGCCGTCTTGGCCAAGAGCCAATTTTATACGTCACGTGCCCTGGATTTCCCCTTTTTGGCCACAGAGGTTTCTGCCTGAGGACCCATTACCGCGGCTACAATCTACATACAAAGTAGTCATACTTTTCAAAATGAGGAATAAAGCTTCTCTTTCAAAACTGGCAATCTTATCACACTAAAAAAGTGTATTTTGGTTGTGCTCAAGTTTATTGCTGTTTAAGACGTATGAGCATCTTAGATTGTAAATAACTACATTTTGCTCCAAAGGTCTGGATTAACGGTTTGGGGGTTTTTTTGGCCCCCGCTGCGTGGCTTGCGGGATTCCCAGACCAGGGATTGAACCCAGGGCCAGGGCAGTAAAAGCCCTGAGCCCTAACCACTGGACCGCCAGGGAATTCCCAAGTTTGGGATTTACTTAAGGACAGATTGAGCAGTAAAAAGAATATGTTCAGTGTGGCTTTCTTTACTTAAAGTGATCACCCAAAATGTGACTAGGGACTTACCTGGCGGTCAAGTGGTTTAAGACTCGGTGCTTCCACCGCAGGGGATGCAGGTTCGATCCCTGGCGGGGGAACTAAGATCCCACATACCCTGCGGTGCGGCCAAAAATAAGTGAATAATTAAAATAAAGTAAAATAAATTTAGGATGTTAAAGTGGTTACCGGAGACTCTAAATTCTTCAGTGTTCTTAAAAAGGGTGAATTTGGCAGTCACCGAGATCTTTCCAGTTCTATAGGAGTTTGGCACAATGAAATAACTGTTAGAATGGTTACCACCTAATATCTGATAGTGTTTTTTTATAAAGTATTTTTTAAATAAATAAATTTGTTTATTTATTTTTGGCTGCTTTGGGTCTTCGTTGCGGTGCGCGGGCTTCTCATTGCGGTGGCGGAGCACGGGCTCTAGGCGCGTGGGCTCAGTAGTTGTGGCGCACGGGCTTAGTTGCTCTGCGGCATGTGGGATCTTCCCGGACCAGGGCTCGAACCCGTGTCCCCTGCATTGGCAGGTGGATGCTTAACCACTGCTCCACCAGGGAAGGTCAGTGGTTTTTCTTGCTGGAAGTTTTCAAGAGGAACATTGTTAGGTTTGAGGTAGGAGAAGGGGTGAAAGAAAACCAATTGGGGTCTTCCTAGCCGTCTCTCCTATCTTAACCTTTCACCTTAAGTTTCCTCCAGGCCCCTCGGGGCAGTTAGTCAGTAGGCTCATCTTGGGAGTACAGACAGCTTGCGTAACACACATACAGAGAGCTGTGCTGTTGGCTGAGGAAGAAAGGCCAGAACATTTGGAATCTTAGGCTTTGGACCCAGAAAGGTGTTTAATGAACTTTCTGGAAGTCCCCTGAAGTTTTAGAAGGAAATTGAAGGATTTTATGGTAGTTAAACTATTGTAAACTATTATAGACAGTTACTACGACAAGATCTAGGCAATTTTCCGGCTTCTGCGCAGTTTTCGCTTCAGCTACTTGTTGGAAGACACTCATGAATGCGTTCATCAGCTCATCGCTTGATCACTCATTCATTCAAAAACTTACAGTCTGTCTCACTCTGTAGGTGCTTTATTATAGGAGGTAAAAAAGAACGTGAGACTTAGCCTGCCTCTAAGGAGTTTAGTGCCCAGTAAGAGAGGTGAGTTTTGCACAAAGACATGACTGTTTAATGAAATCAAACACCTTTTATTCTTAGTCTGTTACAATTAAAGGTTTGCAAATGGCACAAGGATGCCAGAGAGTGCAAAGTCTCTTTTAGCAGTGGTGATCTTTTTCGGCTTCAAAACGTGGTTGGCATTTGAGCTGGGCCTTGAAGTGCAGTTTAGGACGGAAAGAGATTAGAACACTTTGCTTGGGAAAAGCCAGGAGCACAGTGGAAGGCATGAGGCATGGATGTGTCAGGGTGAGAGAAGAGATACCTTGCAAAATGTTTCCCAAAGAGCCTCAGAACCAGCATTAGGTGCTTTTTAAATAAATGCAGATTCATAGATCCTACTGTAGACTTACTAAACAGGATTGTTACCGGTGGGCCCCAGATCCCACATTACTTAACAAAATAGCAACAGTAATAACCAGATTATGCTTACAGGCCCCAAGGTTTAGACATCTGGCTAGAGAAACCTTCAGGGAACTGAAGCTACTCTTCCCTTCAGCACCTTTTTGCAGTGGGGAATGGGTAATAAAGCCCCACACTTGACCCCATTTGATAATCAGTTCCTTCCTAACTTAACGCCCCTTGGCAATCAGAGGTCACTGGAAAGATGAGTGCAGCCTCTTTGCAGTCATCAAATGCTGGGTTATTAGAATTTAAAGGGGGACCTAGCAGTGTTTTGCTACCTTTTCTCATGGAAGGACAGCAGCCCCCATAAAGAAGTAGCAGTTGCCACAGTTACTGTGCTGGATGACTGTACTGGTCCGGTGTCATCTGTGGGTTTATAAATGCCTCCCTCCTCAGCTAATGAAGAGCTGGCTGAATTACTGTTCTCCATCACTGGAACATGTTGCTTTTTTTCTTGGTACAATTTTAAAAGCAAATACCGGCTCATTGGAGGAGGCGGCTTTATTTAGTATGTCCCTTAATGGTGTGAGTAAGCTGCTTATGAGAGAGAAGAAATGCAAAAGCTTGTAATTATCAAGCTTCTACAAAAATAAGTTGCTTTCTTTGTAGGAGAACCAAGGTATTGTTTTCCTGTAGCATTTAATGGTAAGAGCTTAAATACAGTGAGTTATTGGGGGCTTTTGAATTAGTAACCGTGGCTCCAGACTCACATTCAACACACTTGTATGAACATTTGCAAATCGTTTAACTTCGCTTGCTGGACTTTACCTAGAGGGAGAAAATCAATAAGATAAATTGGTATCAATTGATCCGCAAGTATTACTGAACATAGCACACTTAAAAGGCCAAATATTTTATTGCTTCTCATGACTAATTGCAGCAGAGATTGAGAAGAAAGACGTGAGTGTGGCTAGATTTGTTGGATAAAAACTTTGCTTTGAAATGCAAGAAAGGAGGGTGAGAGAAGACCATGTGCCAGAAGAAGGCGGCAGGTATGGGAACAGCGATGAACACCCTGGGAAAAGGGGTACTTGAGAATCATCTGGGCCTTTCACCTGTCTACTTGAATCAGTTTTTCCTGAGAATCCTGGCTGCGTTGTGTTTAACAAATGCCCCGGGTGATTCTCTGGAAAGCCTAGGGAGTCTTTTATAAGCTCCACTCCTAGAGGTACTTGTTCCTCCTGGAAAGTTTGGGAAACCCGGAGAGAATTCTGGACGAGTGTTAAGAGTTGTGAGCTTGGGGCCTAAGACAATTCAGGAGACGCCTGAGCAAGAGTGTTTACCTGAGCAAAAGCAAGCTTCAAGGAAAGGAAAGAACTGGTGTATTTGTGAAAGTTCAGTGAGACAGAACTTGACACTGACATTGTAACGGGAGTGTACAATTTATAGAGTAGGTAGGTGGATAACTATATACTCTGTAGGTTCCTGTGACGGGATGTTTGCTAAAAGAGGTGAGGCAGGTATATTCAGGTTCTTGGAAGGAGGAGGGAGACTCAGTATATATATTTATTGTTAGGAGTCACTCTAATCGGGATTCATAGGACCTTGATAACCACGTGAATGGTTATCACACTTGATGAATACTTAGCAATTCAAGGTTGATGTGCATTTCTCTTTTAGGTGGTTCATGCTGAATTTTATTTGGAGAATTTTCATGATCGTTTTTTTCTTTTTTGAATTTTATTTTTTTATACAGCAGGTTCTTCTTGGTTAGACATATTAGTGTATACATGTCAATCCCAATCTCCCAGTTCATCCCAGCACCACCCTGCCACTTTCCCCCTTGATGTCCATATGTTGGTGCTCTACATCTGTGTCTCTATTTCTGCCCCGCAAACCGGTTCATCCGTACCATTTTTCTAGGTTCCACATGCATGCGTTAATATACGATATTTGTTTTTCTCTTTCTGACTTACTTCACTCTGTATGACAGTCTCTGGATCCATCCATGTCTCTGCAAATGACCCAATTTCGTTTCTTTTTATGGCTGAGTAACGTTCCATTGTATATATGTACCACATCTTCTTTATCCATTTGTCTGTCGATAGGCATTTAGGTTGCTTCCATGTCCTGGCTGTTGTAAATAGCGCAGCAATGAACATTGGGGTGCATGTGTCGTTTTGAATTATGGTTTTCTCCGGGTATATGCCCAGTAGTGGGATTGCTGGCTCATATGGTAGCTAGCTCTATTTTTAGTTTTTTAAGGAACTTCCATACTGTTCTCCATAGTGGCTGTATCAATTTGCATTCCCACCAGCAGTGCAAGAGGGTTCCCTTTTCTCCACACCCTCTCCAGCATTTACTGTTTGTAGATTTTTTGATGATGTCCATTCTGACCGGTGCGAGGTGATACCTCATTGTAGTTTTGAT